GCCACGCTTCCGAGGGGAGAGCGCGCGCCCGGGAAGCCTTGGAAGTTTGTTTTCTTTTTTTTTTTTGACCTCCCGGCGTCTCTCCCGCGCGTTATCGCAAGAATTTGGCCGCGCGCCCATTTTTAGCGCTCGTTCTGTGACACATGCATTTTTACATATCTTTAGCGCGACTTCGTAAGGATTCAACACAGTCAGCTTGCATTCGAATGCTTCGCATAACATCGATTCCCAACGTACATTGGATCTGCCGAATTTCCTTCTTTCTTATATCTTAAAGGGACACTAAATTTAAACAACATATACCTCAAAGTGAAAGCTCAATGTATGAGAATATCTAAAACGGCAATATTATCAACAACAGTGCCGTACTTAGCGAGAAATTTAAGTGAATGCGCAATAGGACAAGCGCCCCCATATGGACATTTTCTAAATGATCCCGATGACATCAGAAGGACCGCCTACAATTAAATACTAGTAATCGATCTGACTACACTAAATAAAGAACCGTCCATACATCAAGAAACGCAATGAAATGCTGCTTGTTCGTTTCTGCTTCAATCATCGAAAAAAGAACCGCCGAATGTTCCTATGGGGAATGACGCGAGTGGTTCAAAATTTTAATTTTCGCGTGGTTACACGGGATAGTTAGTGCCATCTAGCGGGGGGCAGTTGAAACAAAAACGTCTGCAATCTCGAAGCCAATGGCAGGAAGTTGATCAATGGCCGTTGTTGCTGCTGTGGTTCCAGCTGCTTTCGGTCTGCTACTACTAGCGCAGTAAAGCCGGGCAACGTTGCGCATGGCAACAGTGACGTGAATCGGTTGGGTCGGACCGGTATTGAGGCGGGTAATTTGAAGTGCGCTAACCCGATGCGGACCAGTAAAACTTGATTTTATTTCAAAATAAGCCCTTCCTTGGCACAAAAGTAACACTACGAGGTTTCTGGGCCGCTATTTCAACATTCAACGTCGACTTAATAGTTGCCTTTAGTGTCTCTTTAAAGTACGTGACGCTTATGTTCTGAAGTGTTGCAACCATCGTTGTCTGCAACACAACTTTCTTTCAGTTAAAACAGCAGCCACTCAGATTTTCTCACAATGTAATGACAGTATACCTCGCGTTTTACAAGTGTTACAAAAACCCGAGTTCCCAGTGAGCCCAGGCCATCCTTTAAATTTTTACGTAGCTACTTGTATCAACGTACACAAGCATCTTTTCTGTTCATTCTGATAAATCTTTAGTGTTTTTCTACCACTTTAGTGTTTCTACCACTTTACTTTAGGGTTTTTCTACCTGGAAGCTTTAGTGTTTTTCTACCACGTATACTCATATACCCTTCCGGACTCATATACCCTTCCGTGATGATAGTAGCGGACATGGTAACAAACTACTTTACCAGGATGACGGCCCATCATAGATAATGCACTAACGGATATTTTTTCGTGAATGCTACATGCTACATCCTGTTTGCCGAGCTCAATTCAACAAAGGCGGGACCCAACACCGTCAAATGTCATGGTCCTTCCGCAGCGATAATGATTTTTTTTCCTAAATGTCTCCCGCTGACAACACCCACCGTAAGTCAAGTGGTGATGAGATAAGGCACTTTGTCTGGGCCTGTTCGTCACAACAGATGCCGCTTGAGGAATATCTTCCCCTTGCGACTACGTTATGAGTATATGATACACACCCAAGCTCCGAATACGTCTTTAGGTGTTAGTGGAAAAACTAGCCAGATAACGCTGGCGTAATAGCACATCGTACGTCTTATTTATGTTATCTTCCTAAAAAAAACAGTTTCCTTCTCAACTCCTGCTCTTCACTTGCCAGAATAATAGTGTTGCAACCAACTGGTCACGAAATCTGCAAGAGTTGTGTAGCGGGTCTCACGGAACCAAGACAGGAGTATGATAGCAGGATTTTTTTTTTTTTTCGGTGGAGCGCATGTAGCCTTTTAGTATACAGTTACATATGCGAGCCTTGGCTCACGTGACAGCAACATATTGCAGTCGTAGAACTGCGTGCAATAATGGCGTATTATCGCCAAATGATACCAGCGGATAATTGCGCTGAAAAAACATACAGGGTACTTTGTTTGCATGTTTTACCGGCAGTATAGTAATTGTGACATGAATGGAAAGGAATTGATTTGGATGAACCATCAAGTTCCCGCAAGCAGGGGCCGAACGTACAATCTTTAGATAAGGTGTCAGATTCTCCCTTTTTTTGTCCTTTCTTGTGCTGTTCAAATCTAATACAAAAAGCGAACGATCAAGAAAATGTTACATGCTTTAAGAAAACATGCATCTTTTTAAAGTGTTTATTGATTAGAATATCATAACATGGTATCCAGTGTCTTCCACAGCAGGGTATAGCAAAGCGAACAATGAGAAAATAGTAAAGTGCTCTCTGAAATTATAATTTTAACAAGCTTAATACTTTATTTTGTTTGCTTTGTTTATGTATTTTTATTATTTACCGGGATATTGTTATTTACCGGGATATTATTATTACCGGGAAATATTACCGGGATATTTGAAATTAGGAAGGAGGGCTGCGCCGAGCTGTTTGAGACCTTCCTTGAGCTTCTTGCGCGTGCTTCTATAAACACGTTTTGAGTATTGGAGCCGCTGTTATGAAAAGAATTCCTCTCAATAAATTCTATTCCACTTCTATCATTCGAAGTTCATGGCCGACCGGAACTGCACGCATTAAATCTAGCGGCAACAGGCGGCCGATAAGTTCTTCCGGTGTACTTCTTCTCACTTCCCTTCAATAAACTCCCTCCTTTTCCTCTAGCGATAACACGGACTCTGTGCCACTCGGATAACTAACGACGCAAGAAAAGGAACCGTATTGCAAAAAAAAATCTGAATTTAATTGACTGAATTTTCGAAGGATGTTGGAGATAACGCTCCCATGATATTTTGAAGTCCCTGTGATAATTCTCGGGAAGGAACTTTATTATGGATACTCTCACTCGCTGCGCAAGCCTTATTACGTAAATGTTTACGCTAGAGAATATAGACAGTAATTGAAAATACGAAGCGCGAAGCTATATTTTGGACTCTTTCACAATTTTATAAAATATTGTTGCCGAGGGCTCAAATTAACGTCGGCATACTCCGAATTTCAGTCCCACTATAGTGCTTTATATGCACTCAGCTTCGCCCCTAGGGGTGTCAAGCCCGAAGAAAGTGCGGAGCTAGACAGCCTTTTTTGTTTTTCTTTGGTTTTCTTTTCAATTTTCTTCCGCCGTTTCTTGTTTTTTTTTGTTCTTTATCACTCATTTCCACTCCCTTTTTTTTCTATTTTTCCTCTTTTTTATCTATTTCTTTCTGTTTCAATTTTTCTTTCTATTTTTTTTCGTACCTCTGTTTTTCTATTTTGTGGTTGCTTGCATTTTGTTTTCATTTTTATATGTGATTTTGCCAGCGGTACGCAAAGCGATGACGACATCATGAGACCAAGGTATTTGACAGCCCAGTCGCCTAACCCCCCCCCCCCCCCCCCCCCGCACTTAAAAATCACAATTTCCGTAGCGCTGCTCCCTAACACAAGTTTTCTACATACAGCTCGCACCTGAGAGTACTGGTGAGTGGCGGGCCTAATAGTTCAACACGATCCGTCCTCATGATGTAGCATTTCAGAAAGGGTATGTAAAGTGAAGTTTCTTTCAGATAATAGGAAAACGGCAACAATTTGACATGTTATGTTGCTTTTATTGTGTTAACCGCAACAAAAGATTATCTCTTTCAGTTGTGATTTCCCATTTCCCATTAGATATCAACATTGTACGATGAACACAATTTCTGGCCTAGATTGGGTGCGAAAGGAAGTATTTCTATCAACACATGTTCAACTCAGAAGTTCCCGCCCATATGAATATGCGAATCGAGGGGCACAAGAGAACTTGGCCCTTCCATATTCGGGAATTTGTGACTGGTATCGTGCCCGAGCTCTACTTCCGTGTAAATCACAGGCCACCTCTTGCAGAGAATATCGCATACCCGACCACTTCTGAAGAATAAGGGATTGTATTTCCAAAGGCAACCTACCGGGCAAGGCGTTGGTATACACTCTTGTCCGGTGAATGCGGATACAGGTACGGCTTGCCAAGCTCGTAAAACATGAAATCTGCTAATGTGAGATGCTTCTGTCATGTGCTCACATAACTGTCATAACTATCATAAAGGCATTGTTAACTATAATTATAGAAAAAATGTTGCCACAATCAAAACAACTACTCTTAAAAGGATCACAATGGCTTATGTTGGTATTTCTAGGTAATTCAGTGCCTTGTAACCTTGGTGCGTTTACGGCGTTTTCTTCTTGAATTTTGTGTTACCTACAACATTTGCATGCCCAAGCCACTGGATAATGGTATGAGCCTTAGATTTTGAATATTTATATCAGTGTTATTTATTACACAGAATAGAAGACGGACGTCAGAAATTGATCCAACAGCATATGTTCAGTGCGTGTATTGTGCTTCTTGCGCTCGTCAGCGTTCACTAAGCCCAATTGTTGGTCCCATATTTAGAGCGTGCGCGTATAGATGTGACACTCCCGCTAGTCGAACTTCTGGTGCTCCCACACACTCTGTCATCGGAGGTTACTGCCGCCGCCAACAGGGATACGGGGAACCGGACGGGCTGTTCATCGGCCGTCGCACGTGTAGGACTAGATAAAAAAATGAAAATAAACGAACGCGACGCAAAGAGCGCGCATTTCCAGTTCCGCCAGCAACGAGCCTTTCTTCTCCGCTCGACATTTCGTTGCGCAAATGCATCGGCTGTGCTACGTCGCGCTCGCCAGCCTGCGTCGAGGGGCAAAAAGGGCTGCGGGAGAGGAAGGAATGACGAAAAAATAGAAGAACTAATACACGTAGAGTTGGCGAAGGCGAGTGAAAGCAAATGACGCGAACGCGCGTGTCGCGGGTCTTCCCCTATCTCGGCGTGGCGTTACAAAACTGGTCACCTTTTTCTTGCTTATAAACAGTGCGCTCGGTTCTCTTCGAAGCGAACCACGCTGCATTTCGCTTTGCTTCAGGTAAGCGCCAGTAGGTTTCGTCGGCCTCAATGATTTTTTTTTTTTTTTGTCATTCACGTTGTGTACATTGCATATCTTCCGACCAAGTCGACAAATGTATGTGACTAGCTGTGTGGCAGTGGTTTTCGTGCGTATGCTTTGTGTTTCTGGCACGGAATGTATAGAGATGTTCGCCAAACGAACACGATGCTTCCGCCTGACGCTTCTGGTTCCTCCGAGTAGCGAACGCCACTTCGTGTGGTCACGCCAAATTAATGATATGTGGGGTTTAACGTTCCAAAACCACCATATGATTATGAGAGACGCCGTAGTGGAGGGCTCCGTGAATTTCGTTCACCTGGGGTTCTTTAACGCACAATCAAATATGAGCACAAGGACCTACAGCATTTTTGCCACCATCGAAAATGCAGCCGCCAAAGCCGGGATTCGATCCCGCGACCTGCGGGTCAACAGCCGAGTACCTTAGCCACTAGACCACCACGGCGGGACCACGCCACATTAAATTTCACCATTTCCCCGAATACACTCTGCGACAAAAGCCAGATAGAACCGTGGTAAGCTTTTTTTTTTTCGTCTAGCAGATTATGTCACTCGCTGTGCTAGCGTAGAGGTTATAACATTGGTCCATCAAGATCGAGGCGAAGGATTCGATCCTGCCATCGTCTACCACGTTCCAATGAGGGCATTTGTGAAAGCGTTCATTTTCCATGCATATTTCTTTTTACAGTAACACTGTGTGTCCAAAATTAATTTGAAGCCCGGTGCTATGCACACGGGGTTCTTCGTACCCACTGCGGTGGTCATGTATGATTATGCGGTGCTTGTCTGCTGTTCAGGCAGGAACCAGCTAAGCACCATGACCCGGTCACGGCGGCTGCATTCGGACACAGGCGAAATTCGGCCATCGTATAGCTTGAGTCGGGTGCGTGTTGAAGAAACCGAGGTGGCCGAAATTTCTGGAGCCCTTCACGACGGCGTCCATATTTATATTGTCTCCTGCTCTTAACGTTGGCGAAGGCAGCAGTCCACGCGTCTCCGATGAAATTCTTTATTTGGCCGACCTTGTAGGACGGGAAACGGAGTCACATAACAGCAACGCACAGTGACACTGATAGCGGCGAACGGAGCATCGGCCATCGATAAACTTATACGAGCGGTCAAGTGCACTGACTTTTGCATAGATGTATCATCGATGATTTCCCCGTTATAGCTAGCGGCCGCGAAGTTTCCAGAACTATAGCTCTAATGTTCGCGCTGAGCACGTAAATCTCATCGGAAGGTTCTAAAATAATCTATGTAGTTCCAATCATTCCGTTGTGGTTTGTGGAAGGTACTGTTATTTTTCGTTTTCTTGTTTTGTTTTTTTCTCGTCTTTGCGTTATCAAAAATTTGATGGCGTAGTGTTATAGTATGATCAAATGTCAGGCTAGGTGATGCTACTTGTCTTAGTATCAGTTTTATTTTGCCTTGCACTGCCGTACTAAAACGTCTTAATTTTGTATACATACGCAAAAAAAAAAACTGAAAGAAAGCTGTCTGTCCCAATGTGGTGTTATTTCAAGTCTTGTGGTCTGCTGTCTGTCGACTCTGCCCTTCAAGCCCAATGAGGCTTCGGCAGGCCAATTTTGTGTTTCTGTGGTGCTTTTTTTTTCAGAATGCTAATAAAAGATTATTATTATTATTATTATTATTATTATTATTATATTAATTATTATATTATTATTATTATTATTATTATTATTATATTATTATTATTATTATTATTATTATTATTATTATTATTATTATTATTATATTATTATTATTATTATTGCCTTATTAGTAGTAGTAGTATTGTGGTTGTTGTTGTTGTTGTGGTGGTGGTGGTGGTGCCAGTCATACGTGCAACTGGGTCGTAACAAAAATGAATAGGAAGGATGGTTTTGCGATGCAAAAAACCCATGAATTACTAGAATAATATAAGATCTGGGGATTTAAGCGCCAGAACTCCGATACGACTCGGAGGCATGGCATTATTATGAGGACAATTTGAGCATTTTGGCTTCTTTACCGTGCCCTGACATGGCACAGTGCATGGGCCTCAACCATTTCTTATCCACCAAAATGCTACTGCCGGGATCGAACCCACGACCTTAGGTTCAGCAGCCAAGCACCCTAAATATGGCGTACCATCAGTCATTTTAAAGGTACAACGAACGAAGATGTGTGCGCGCCTAAGAATCTTTGCAACGTACGGATACTCGCATCTCAGCCGCATTTTTTGGCGCATTTTGCGAAATGCACACACGTGAAGCGTTTTCGATTTGAAGTAACGATAGCAACGAGGATAGCAACAAAGAACGAAGGTGGCGACCCGTTTTCTCGGAATTCACCTGACCCCCTTTCTCAATTCACTTTGCAGCTCTGAACTCGGGCCAACGCACCGCCATGGAGCTGATCGTGCTCCCACTCGCCTTACTGCTGACCTGCGCCTTGGGCATGCCTCAGCAGAACGGTGAGCAATCGACTTGCAGCGACCATGCTATGAACACTGGAGAAAAGCTGTCGACAGCACGTGCTGCCTATATGAAACTGGTTTTCCGGTCGCCAACATACGTTAGCAAAAGACAAATAACGTCATTTTGAGCGCTGTAGTCCGGACAAGGTCTCTTTGAGCAAAAATATAGGTAATACGCTTAGGCGTAATTAGCAGCGTAGTAAATGCAAGTTGAGAAACGGCCACCTAAACGCACCTCTACAACAAAAAAAAACGTGTGTCTGCACGTAGTTTTATTGACCTGCTTGCCCGTCTTCATAATTTACACGTTAGCATAATGAGGTTTATACCGAGGCACTGATCTCTGCTAAGCACTAAAACGGTCAATTATTCAGGGCTCGTTCCTTCACTACATCTGTGTGATTGATTGATTGATTGATTGATTGATTGATTGATTGATTGATTGATTGATTGATTGACTGATTGATTGATTGATATGTGGGGTTTAACGTCCCAAAACCCCCATATGATTATGAGAGACGCCGTAGTGGAGGGCTCTGCCAATTTCGACCACCTGGGGTTCTTTAACGTTGGTGTGCGTTGTACTGACTACACGAGCGAAAAACGGCTGGGCAATTCAATTTTTAGACCTTTATCCCTTTTAAGTGGCGCATGCAATGTTATCATGTAGCTTGGTATCAAAACAACGTGAACAATTGTCTTCCTTTTGTACTTCTAATTTTTTTCGCGCACTCTGTTAAGATCGATTAATGAGGATGTGCTAATAATGATGGTCGATCGAGGTTTTGAAGTTCTACTCAGAGGGGGCGAAGCTTGATGATTATTTCACCCGGTGCGTGACTGTAGCTAGCAGAACAAACATCTGCGGCTGCAGAATAGAGGTGAACATCGAATCCGAAAACTCGAAATCTGTGCAAGCTGCGGCTATGAGCAGGAGCTTGAAACTGTCTTGTAACTTGCTGCGTAACTCGGACGGCTGTCTACTCTCTCATATTAGAGTGCAGGGTACTCTAAATTGATAGTTTTGTTTTAAGCATGGTAGCACTACCCAATATCATCACTATTGGTAGCTGTTTCATAGTTGAGACAACAGCCGTTATTGTTCGAAAGACATTTGAAGAGCCAACACGAATCATGCGCGAATATTTTGAGGCGTGGTGACGCCACCACGACGTGCATTGTTTTTTTTTTTTTTTGGTAGCTGCATCTTAGAGTGCGCGTTGCATGATGCCACTTGAATAGAAGCCCAGATATGAGGATACGGTCGTTTGTGATTACTGACATGTTCATTAGTTCAGCTCACTGAGCGGTGCAGCAGAAGGGGACGTGCAATGTTTCACCTGGTCCTGCCAACATTGCAGTGTCGATAGGAAGGCTCTGCTTGACAACGTGCGAACAGAGTGAATCCAAGTGCATTTGTAACGAAAATGTGTCTCGAGTGAGGGTGAATAGTACACAAAGACGCTCCAGGTCCCTTTTTTTTCGACTATTTACGCAACACTGAAGATAAAGACATGTGGGATATATAGATGAGCAATAGGAAAGACGCGCAGCCAGAGAAATTTCCATCCCATACTGCGAGGAATAACGCTTATGAGCATACAAGCACCTAGACAAACATCATCAAAGCTAAGCGTTGCAGAATTGTAACTAGAGTATCTATGTATTTATTCTTTCTTTATCATTTAGAAAGCGGATCAACAGCTTCAACGACAAGCACAGCGGCGAGCTCTTCGGCTTCAGCTAACGCTACCACAGCGAGAACGGGCTCCGGCGCGCACCCGGGTCCGGCGCCAGTGGTTTGCTACTACTCTGCCTGGGCCAACAGCCGGCCTCACCCAGCCAACTACGGTGTCAAGGACATTCCGGGAGACCTGTGCACGCACGTCAACTTTGCCTACGCGGGCGTCAACCCTCAGACCTGGGAACTCAAGAGCGAGGTGCCCGAGTTCGAGAGAAACAGGGGTGAGTGGACACGGCTAGCTTATACAGCTTCTTATATGCTCACGCTAAAAAGGTTTATTTTTATGCGAACTATAGCACAGGGCTAATGTGTCAGTGTTGTGATCGCATGCGGTCGAGGTTTGGAAAGGTACAGCGTTAATGCAGAATCAACACCGTTGCAGAAGTGCTGATTAAGAAGTGACGCTAATACAGAAATAGTATGCAGTCGTTTTTTTTTTCTTATAGATGGCCTGCACTAACGTCAATCAAACAGACGTGATGGCACCCCAGCACGGTGGGAAGTAAAATTTGTGATGTCACGTTTTTGTTATGAGTACATCACATGACTGTTATTTCGCTAATCAGGCAAAAAGGTCAAATATCGTTATATAGATGTCGTTATCACACTAAAGCAGGTTAATGGCAGCGTGGTTATACTACTTTGACGTCACTCAAGGTGCCATATATTGTAGCCATGTTTTGCGTCGACAACGTCAAATGCACGATAACAAATAGTGGCTTATTTAGGTCAGCGTCGTGGTCAGTTGGAAGCTTACAAGGTACCGGTAATAAGTGCGCAGTTTACCATATAGCGTCACTTGTAGCCGCAATTAAGTCGTTGCTGAACTTCTTTCGTGGCAGTGGCCTGTTGGACAGGCTATAGTACTCCTGCGCTGCACTTTTTTTTTTCGAGCACCTGCTTTTCTTCATTCTTTTCTTTCCATATTTCCTTACCCCCCCCCTCGTAATGTAGGATAGCAAACGGCATGCTATAACTGAACATATTTTAACACATCGCACGACTAAGTGGACACAAGAGAAGGGACAAACCGCAGTGCCGACTCCCTTCTTTTCATGTGCCCGTGTAGTCGTGCGCTGAGTTGAAATATGTTCAAGTACTGCCACCAACCGACCTATCTTTTACTCCTTATACAGCATGTTATAATTCTTCTTGACCTCCCTGCCTTCCTTTTATTATCTCTCTCTCTACCTGTAAGCGTCAAACTTCATGCCGTAGAAGCAGTCGAATACTAATGTGCCTCCTTCAGTGTAAAGAAAGCATTGTGAACCACTATCTATAGTATCCTGACACCCGTCACTGCAACGCATAGATGGTGGCCCCACGTGTGCGCTACGACTGCCCAGATGACGTAGATAGCACGAGAAGTTTGTCTGAGTGGAAGTAGGGTTCACTCATGTATGGTGTATTCATAGCTGCAGGCACCTTGCTTTCCGAGGCCAAGCTTAAACATGCACGTGTGTTTGATGTTGATAAAACTAGCGTTGACGCATCCATGTATATTCTATGGTTTGAAATGACCTTACCAGTCTGGTGGATGGTGTAATTTCTTCTGGAGTCTATGACCTCAAATCTAGCTAACTGCCACACTTTCTATAGAAACAGAAGCTATTAAACGAATAGTCAGCAAACCTAAGTCACGGGTCAACGTGAGTCCAAGGCTCAAAGATTCAGGGGTCAATTATGCAGCCTCCATAGCTTTAATATCGAAAGCCGTGTTTGCCGTATAGGCCTCTGCATAGACGTTCCCTTCTCCAACACTATATATCGTTTGGACAAAGAAAAGCATCTCGCCCAAAGCATTTACTTTCGCATTTGACCATCACGAGCTATCAAAGTGACACAGGCATTCAGGAAAACATATTTTACTGTGAGGTAAAAAAAAATTCTCGACACACACCATAAACATATAGCAGGCCGTGTTCAGAAAACCTCCTCAAATTTCCGTGTTCAGAAGAACATGGAGGCTGAACGCGGAGGATTGAGGAGATGAGAAATCACACAACCGGAAATGTCAGTGGGGTCAATGTTCTGACAAGCGGACTAATTTTTGTCAGCCACACTGACAAAGAAGATTCTCTTGGTCAGAGCATAGGCACCAGGATCAAACGCTGTTCTTCATTCAATCAAAATGCGCAGAGCCTTGCAATGACTTCCAGCATCGCTTACCCAACGACTTCTCATCACTTCACAGCCTATGCGTTTTGTGTACGCATTCTTTTGGTAATGTTAGGCTCTTAATTTTTCATACGTAATTTTACAGATCTCTTCAAGAACTTTACGGCCATAAAGACACAGTATCCGCAGCTGAAGACACTTCTGTCGGTTGGCGGCTGGCAACACGAGACCGGAATTTTCTCCCAGATGGTCGCGAGCGCTGACCGGAGGGCGCTGTTCATCGAGAGCGTCCTGCTGTGGATGAAGGAGTACAACCTGGACGGCGTCGACATGGCCTGGCGCTTCCCCGGAGTCTCCTACCGCGGAGGATCGCCACGCGACAAGGAAAACTATGCCAGTCTCATCAGGGTGAGGAGGATGAGGAGAAGGGTGCGACCGTAGGAGCTGGGAAAACGAACGCTCGATACATTGAGTTCCACTAATTCTGTGCAGCAGGATAAATACAACTTAAGAATGCTCACCGGCAAACGGACGAACGCTACATTCATTTCTGAAAGCGCACTTCACTTGCGCTCCTTGATATTCTCTCATTTATCATAATGTTCCGGGTGCCTTACAACACAGACAAATACATAGTTTTGGTGCGTTGGACTGGAAATCAAATCTTAGCTCGTGGTGCAGTCATTTCCTTAGAAAGTGTTACAAGGAGGATTGATTCCTACTAGTACCTTTGCGAATCGGGTGTTATTGTTATGCCTGTTAGGTCAGAACATTAACTCATGTTTCCAGAGAGATCACATGTAAACTAACACAGACAACAACCACTATGTTGAGCAGAAGAATTATTTACTACTACATCCCATTGCAATAAGGGCAGCTCTGTGTTTGTGGTGTGCCCAGTCCGTCTGTAAAAATATAAAGAAGCGCCTTTCCCCAACTTTAACAAATCGTGGCACTTCTCTACGCAGTGTGTATTTCTCTAAGCTGGCTACAGGTGGTCAAGCATAGGTATGTTTCTAGGCCCTTTCAAGCCTTATAATTAAGGACAGAACTCATTCGGTGCTTAGAGACTCTCGGGAGTGCATGAAGCCTGTTTCGCTCAGCGAAGGAGCAGTGAAGCTTCCGCAAGGCTGCACAAAATTAGAAACGCCTAAGATAAAATTTTGCCCCTGCGCAAAACGAAGCTCGCGCCATCCAAACTCTCAAGGTTGCGCTGTTATTGCCACCGGACAAAGTGATTAACAGGTTGTCACGCAAGCTGTTGCGTCGCTTCGACGCGGGGGCTGCAATAATCTAGTGTAGCTCTCTTGCTTCATCTCTGTTTGTTACGGTGTTACTTTTCTGCCCGAAGACTTAGCTTAGGGTCACACGTGCTCAAAACAACGTGGTGAATGTAGCGAACTACCTCGCAAACACGAGTTATGAGAATCAAGTTGCGAAACTAGCGGCAATAAGACTCTCGCCAAAAGAATGGCTAGCGGGGGGATTCACGGGCTGGTGCATGAATGTCCGTCGTGCTCGTTATTTACATTCGATTTGCGTGTGAGAATCGTGCCGCCACTTGGGTAACGTAATGATTTCAGGAGTGAAGAACGAACAATACTGCAGAGAGTAAAGGTACATAGCAATACTAGAATGTCCAAAAACTGCCCGCGAACTACACGAGGGCACAACAATTTGCATGAGTGGAAAGCGCGTTGCGAATACCAACGACAAAACCTCAACGTTGTTGGCTATATTTAGGCGACTCAGTCTTTTGCAGAACAACGCGCAAATAAACTGCGGTATTCCCATTCGTTCTTTTTTTTAACATGACCAGTTTGGCCATATTATTATTGTTATTGATTCCTTGCATTATAATTTCATTTTTTATCGGTGTTTCAGTCTACGAAGTCAGCACATTCGATTTCTTATGCAAAGTTCAAAATATTTTGAAACACTTCAAGGATACGAATGTCTGAAATCAAATCTATAAGCACTATGAACGCTTTTCATCCCATTTTCCTGAGTCTAACTGAACAATAAGTTACTCAACTTGCGTCTATGATCAGCGTCAAATGAAACGCCAACAGCGGCGCGCGCAGCCAAAACATTAGCAACGGTATAATGCTCTCCATCCAGACGACACCTTAGAGAAGAGCGTAGCTACATCCTGTTTGGCAGCGCGATCCCCCTACAATGCATTATTTTTGCTTTCGTTCTAGTTCTGATATGATGATAGTAGGGGCCGACGCAGTCGTGCCAAGTGCTTTTGCTTGGTTTCACTGTTATTTTCGAACCCAGGACAACGATGAAGTGTCTGCCCAGCAATACGCTGTTGGATTATCGTGGAGTCATTATGGCAGAACTGGCAGATGTCATAGTCACTGTAAATCAAGCGGTTCCCGGTCCAGTTCGGATTACAAACTCTGATAAACTTAAGGTTTAATTCCTAAGCCGATGAGCTTTTGAATATCGTTAACTGCTCCTTACAGCCCACATTAATTCCGAGCTCATGGAAAATTGCTAATGTTGTGTTTCTGCGAAAAAATGAAAGCCTCAGATATGAAGTGGATAACATTCGGCCAGTCTCGCTTACTGCAAACTTAGTTAAAATATTTGAAAAAATCCTTCATGTCAGGCTCCGTGAATTTATTTTTTGTCAGGGTATAATTTATCGTCAAGGCAAATAGGATTTAGACAGGCTTGCTCTGTATGGTCGGCTCATAATGATTTGGAAAGCCGCTTTCGACTTGCAAAAGTATCTGGCAAGCTTCTTGCGTTAGTCACATTAGATTTTGAAAAAGCCTTCGACAGTGTTGAGCACAGTTTATTGATTTTTAGATTAGTTAGCTATGATGTGTTCAACTATATTATATATTGGGTTCAGGAGTTTCTCTTACAGAGTTCTATTGTTGCAGCGAGTCGGAATCCTTTCTTACTCATATAAGCAAACAAGACGTGGTCCGCAATGATCAGTGCTTTCGCCTCTTTCATTTAATATTTTATTATCATCAATCCCAGTTCATGAAAATGTTCATCTTTACGTCTACACTAATGATATTGCTTTTTACAGCGAAAGTTGTTATGAGATCCCAACTCGGCTCCCGCACAGTTGTCCGCCGCTGCCACAGGTGTCCGTAACAGCATCGCGCTGTGGTTGCGGCTCTCTCTCTCTCTCTCTCTCTCTCTTTGCGTCCTTGTCGTGGTGCGCTATACCCATATAAATGATGAACTCCAACCAACTAACCCGGCAACGTGCCTTAGTGAAAAAAAAAGACTTAAAACCAAGCTTTCGAATGTTTTCGAATGCAAAGGTTATGAAAGCCTCTGCATGTGTTCTGTGCAAAACAAAAGTGTGCGCGTTTAGTGATTGCTGAGTATTTTTTTTTTTTACACAAATAGGAGCTCGCTGGTGCTTTCCAAGGCAAAGACTTGCTACTCACAGTCGTCGTGCCAGTTGCCGATGAATTTCTTGATCCTGGATACGATGTTGCTGAAATTTCCAAGTAAGTTGAAGAAGCCCTTTGCTGGCGCTAACCAGAGCTGCTGCACTTGATGTAAATCAGGCGTTAGCTTTTTCCTTCATTGATTCCAATACTGCAAGATCATCGTGACTCTTTCAGTTCTATTACATTTTATCTAATCGATTTACAAGAAATGAATCGCTTGAGCTAATCAGAATCACTAGTCTCAAGTCCAGCAGTGCACTTTTAGCGCGCGTGAAGTTCTTCATTGTACCAGAAGGCAGCTTGCTTAACCAATGATAGACACGCAAGACCCTAGAGTAAGCACAAATGCGGGGCTGGGAGGTTAAATTCGGTAAACTTGAACACTAAAGGAATGTCGAAGACAAGCCGGTTAAAAGAACAGTACAAATATTTTTACTAAAGATGTCCAGATTTGTACTGCCACTAGAAAAGATAATACACTCGCCCTCCAATCACACGGATAGTCCAAGAAACCTTATTATTAAAATTCGCAAAAACGTATGTAGAGGGTAAAGAAGCAGCTGTCTTAGTATAAATACTCAATTGTGAGTTATTAAGTGGTGATCGAAGTTTATGAGAGTGAATGGTAGTTGACTCCGGCCTTACAGGTTAGCATTAGATAAAGGGGTCGTGTTTGTGATCTGCCAATGACCGCAAATGGATGATGATTTTGATAATAAAGGGGTCGTGTTTGCGATCTGCCAATGACCGCAAAGGGATGATGATTTTGATAACGACGTGGATAAGACAACAATTTCCCTCCGTTTCAAATGTCTCGCTCTCATCAGTACAATGGTTCTTATTCTACTCTCAGGTACGTCGACTGGATTAATGCACAAGCTTACGATCTTAGGGGAACCTGGAACGGAGTAACAGACGTCCACACCCCACTCTTCCCCAGGTCTATCGACTTAGGATCACAGGCGACATTGAATGTGGTAAGAAGGTATATGCTTATGCAAACAGACTCCATCGACATTAAAGCCCCTGGATTGCTGCTGCTTTTTTTATTATATCTTGCATAGTTACACAATTTATTTTGATTCAAAGAACGCTTTTTTCGCGTGTTCTAACATCATTTACCATTACAACAAGGAAGCATTTCATTGCAAAGGTGACTGGGCCTCTTGTAGTTCGCGACAGGAAGAGCTTCCAATATTCTTCTAGAGCAGTATACAGAGATGTCACTAGTGATTGGAAAAAAAGCACGAGAAAAAAATTACTGGTGACCTAGACTTCGTCGTCTTGGGTGTCGATATATTAACGACGCTAGGCTAGAAAGAAGCAGCTCAAGCTTGTAAACTTACAATGTCCACCTTCGTTGTCTCATACTTGCCTGACTTTGTGATAGAGGCTACAGCATAAAGAAACTGGCGAACTTACGCGATATTTCTTGTTGCTGTGGCTCTCACACAAAAGAGTACAGACTGCTGCTGTGCGTGCGTCTCGGCAAAACCACTATAGATCAACACCAGCAAGATTAGCTTTTTTCTATGGGCTGGTGGTTGTCTCGGTGCATGCTTCACGCCCCCTGTTGCACTTCACTGGCCTTACTGTGAGCTTGACGTGATGTTTGGACATTCCGTGCGTCCACTACAGGTTTTAATTATCGATGCATGGTAGGGCGAAATGTATGTACGTCTCTGTCCTACACTCTAAACGTAGTAACCGATAAATGTGATTTTGTCCACCGGTAGTAAGAATTACCAAATTAAAATGTATGCACTCAAAGTTATTGTAACCCTTATTACATAGTCGCACAAAATCACATTTGTCAGATTCCGCCTGAATAAAACAAGGTAATTAGTAGTTTTCTGGCCACTGCCAGCAATCCTGTGGTTACCTGGTGCCTTAGAGAACACTAGAATTCCATTGCACATATCTTTTTATTAGTTTAGCCTATACGCTTCCCGTTTACCATCTAAACATTTTATTTTTTTTATTCGCCACGTAGAATGCAAACAGTTGCACGCACTGGTTGACTTCTAGACACATTCTTCAAAGGGCTATATATCTGAAATACTGTTTATTTATTTGTTCTTAGCTCAGGTTCACACTGTCGTGTCTCATTGTCTTTGTTTACAGAAACAGAACTGGAAAACCACGCAGCTACCTCTGTCGGATTATATTTGTGTTGTTGTTGTTGTTGTTGTTGTTGTTGTTGTTGTTGTTGTTGTTGTTGTTGTTGTTGTTGTTGTTGTTGTTGTTGTTGTTGTTGTTGTTGTTGTTGTTGTTGTTTCAGCGTTTCCACAAGAACGCGCCGTTCTACCTTGAAAGTTGGAAGCTGCGGCTGTTGTGTATTGTTTCGCGCTGCCTTCGGTGTACTAGCGTACCATTTCAGAGCATCGTGCCGTGTAGCACACCCTCGGCTCACGCGTGCCCCTTCGCTCGTGTTTCCCGCAGAAAGATGGCCTTGCCCGAATCGTGAGCCTCGGAGCGCCAAAGTCCAAGGTGGTGATGGGTATCGCCTTCTTCGGCCGGGGATTCACGCTGCTCGATCCGCAACAACACGGCCTCCACGCCCTCATCAACCGCGATGTGCCGCCGCACGCCGGGCCCTTTGTCAGGAGCAGCGAGATCTTCGCCTACTACGAGGTCAGTATGCAGTGCGACTCTGTACTGTCAATATCTCGCACAGCACAAACAGTCTACGTTCCCCGAGAAATGAAGGTTAGGACGACCATCATACGTTTTGCTGAGCGATCTAACACGAACACCATGAGACCAGTTGAGTAACTTTTTGCTAACATGCTACCGTCTTACAACTGGACATCAAAGACTCTAGTTGTATTTCCAACTTTTTCTGATGTGAATCTTTTCAGCTTGCGCAACAGCAGGACCCTCCAATAGGTTTGTGGTAACAGTATTTATTTGCACACGCTATATCGTATCACAGAGTCTATTGAAATCTCGGTCGTTTTTTTTTATTTAATATAGTTTACACGAAATAGCTCTCATTGAATCAGCCTTGCAAGTGTTATCACTCCTTGGTCCTTTTTTTTTCAAACTGTTCGTTACCGACCTGCTCTCGTGGATAGCGCCCGCGTTTATCTATGCAACTGATTCTACAACGGGCAGACTGCCACGTGGCCTACTTGTGCGACAACTACGAGTGGAAGAATACAAAGATCTTCCTGAGCTGCTGCTTGGCTAGTCTACCCAACAAGCCTAATAAAGCAAGCTTGTCGTCAGAAAAGCGACAAAATTTTGGTAGACGTTTGCAGGAATATAATTACACCAATCACTGTATGACCTTCGTGTGTGATTCATTCTGTCACACCTCTCTATCTGTCAGCATACTGGTTGTTCAGGCCAGGATACGCATTCACCACACACCTCAGAGACCGTATATACGACTTTGCGTATAATTATGTTCGTATTCTGTTATGAGTGGGCCTGTTAAAATTATGATGAAGAACGTGCATTTTGTGTTTGATCACTGTTTGGATGCGGTATTTTTAGACAAACATTGCTGTAACTTCGAGACGTGACCTCGCGTTTTGCGGAAATCATTGCAAAAATTGATTACTTTTTCTTTTCTTTATATGCGTATTTAAGAAAAAGGCAATAAGATAAGCAGAGATCACAAAGCGCTCGTACATACAAATCGGAGTGTTTCACTACCTCCAAAGCGTTGCAAGTTGTAGTGCCCAGAAGAGGTTCCTTTCAAGTTACTTCTCTGTTACAATGAAAGTGGACTAATGAAGCTTTGCATGGAAATTCAGAGGTATGCTATGCATATGAACTTATCGAACTTCATCATTCGATGTTCCAGATCTGTCTCAATCTTAAAGGAAACTGGAAACGAGAGTTCGACGACGAAGGAAAGTGCCCGTACGTCTACTACAGAGACCAGTGGATCGGCTACGACGATGCAGTCAGCATTCAGCACAAAGTACGCACCCTCCCTTATCTCAAAGCGGTAGCTTCATAATTTCGTAGCTTGTGACAATGGTTTTTCTTTGAACCCATATTGCAGTAACGAAGAAATGTTATGTTCACTTATACTTGAAAGACTAAATTCATAATCTTTAGTGGACAAGCAGAGGTTGAGTATCCGTTATTTTTATGCCTTTTTTTCTTTGGGTTAGAAGTCGTATTTTGTTATACTGATGTCTGTCTTGAAATTGCCCGTCTTGAACAATAATATTATCCGGAGTAGTAGTAGCTTGTAACGTATTGTAAACTTTACGGCAAACTTTATGGTAAAGTGTTACATGAATTTAACAGCCAACCGCTGCACTTTTCTTCTACCGTTGGGGCTTCGGACCGAATTCGTCGCTTAGAACTCAGTTGCAAAATGACGAATTCGTCGCTTAGAACTCAGTTGCAAAATGACATAGACAATGAGCAACCACACCGCATGTCTCATCGGCATGCGCTGTCAATTCAATATCAACCAACGTCTACGTTAACCACTGAAACTCGTGTCTAAGTCTCCAATACTTGATACAGTGTCCCACCGATTTACTTAGAAGCATCGATGGCAAAAATTTATAGCAGTGCAATAAGGGCATTCGAAACTTTGAGTGTACTTTGCAAAAGCGGTGAGAGAAAGCTGCCAGAATTAATAGCTTCCATTTAATGTTCCAGATTGATTTTCCTGCTTCAAGAGGGCTATCGTGGAGTTTACGTCTTCAACAACGACCTGGACGATTTCCGCGGCTTCTGCGGTGAACCTAACATCCTCCTAAAGACTATCAAGAATGGTCTGACCGAGAAGAATGAGCTCGATGCCCGCCGTCAACCAGAAGGAGTGACGTCAGCAGTGGCAGTCAGGACAGTGGCCACCTAGTCACAATGTCAAGCACTAAACCTCGCCGCAATGCTGAACCACTGTCATGCGAACCGACTGCGTACTTTATTTCTTTCAGACGTGTATACATCGGTTGCATTTTCATTGAATACACCAAAGTGAGTCAACACTATGGAATTCAACAAAAAAAACTTTGTGGATGCCATTTTTCATTGCCCTTTTTAACATGGCATCACAACGGTGCTGATACCACACAAACGAGGGTCACGAGTATTCATGCTCGAAACAAAGCACATGTGTCTATAACATTGTCTCGCAGCGTACTTGCCTTCAAGTGCGATTAGTTGTCTTACATTGTTTTATCTGCACTTAATGTCCACAAATGTCACATTGTTTGGTATGCCTGTTGCTACACACGTGTGAAGATTTATACTTGCGCCGTAAAGATCATTCACGCAACGACAATAAAGGTATGCCTCAACGAGGTTGCAGTGTCCAATGCATTCGCCAAAGCATCCTACTTAATCGCTGAACATTGCTGACAGGTATTGCCATACTGTTAATCTTATCGCTTTCTTGGAAATGTCATGAATCGCTACTTATGTACCTATAATAATGTGTTCAGTAGGAGCTACATGGTGAAGGTCCGTTTTCTGGCACTGCTTGAAGCGAACTTCCGCGAAATTGTTTGGCCTTAAACAAATGTTGCTAGGAGAAAGCGGGGCACTGCCTCGTATAGCATCCATCATTGGATGCTATGCATCATTGGAAAAAATCATTGGAATTTCCGACAACAAGCTTCCTTTATTATATAAATAAACATCTCCTGTTCATATGTGTTGCGAATTACAATGTGAGATGTTGATGAAATACTTCACGATTATATATATTGTGGGCGTTCATGCGACACGTCGTCCCTCATCCCATATGTTAATCACCCTGTATGTACTCACTCATCATCGGCTGTGGAAACTAGAATGAACTGTGATCAGCGTCTCGCGCTTCGTCACTTTGCCGTGTCTTCGGGGCCTAATAAAGGTCGCGTTAAATGCTGCGCTACAATATGGTCAGTTTATAAATATACAAATATACATGTAGAAGAGGAGGCAAGAGTAAGCAATGCGGCCTAAAAGAAGTTGTACGCATTTCTTATGCAATGATATCGTTTCATGTCACTGTTGTTCTTGCACATCATATTGCTGCTCGGGTATAAATTTATCAGCCGTCATATTTGTTCGTTCATTTCACAACAGATCAATACTGTAATAGTTCGTCGCCACCGCTGATACAGCTGATTTGTGGGAATATTAATTCGCATGAATCAGCTGTACTCAAAACAGAACATGCAAATAAAGCTTCTGCGCCTCCCAGAAGTAAATTGTGGCACTCGTAAACAGAAAGGTACACATCGACACTCAATCAATCCTCAGTGGGGAGTGTTGCGCGTCGGTTACTGCCAGACTGCGAACAGCTGACCGTCAATACACTTTACGTGAAACTTCTCCGTTGAATTCGTCGTACTCTTGCCAGCGAGCCACGCGTTGAAAGCGTTTCGATTCGCTGCTTCCTTTTCGGTGCGGCCGCTCGTCGTAATTCGTTGTTTCCTCGCCAAACTTGCCTCTGCAACACAATGCGAAAAAATAAAATTTTCAGAAAGCAATATATCTTCGTAAGAAGCAATCACCATTAGCACCATGATTTAAAACTCTCACTACCCCTCCTCCTCCCCCCCCCCCCAAATACTTGCAAAATGTTCAACATGATGCGCTTCACGGACACTGAAGTTGATGTTACTGCCATAATTCTGGCACTCACCCACAAAGGGGGATCGGCCAAGTACCTGGATGGAAGGATATTAGGTATCGAGAAACGTCCCATGTAAATAGGTCTATATAATCAAATTGTAAATAATGAATGAAAATGCTGCACGAGCGATTGGTCAGGCCATCCGATATAGGCTTGGAGCCGAAGATAACAATTATAATAAGCTGACAAGGTAATCGTTTTGTTTCGTTACGTAAGAGAACACAGCAGAGCAAACCTACCTGGACACTGAAAAAGAGTGAAGCTGGTGGCCTTTACCATCGTCAGCATAACGATTTTTTATGTTCTGCAAATTATTTAAATATGTTGTATCACTGCTCTATATAAACTCTCTTTGTTAAAGGGCCAGTCAACAGGCTCCCAAACGCGCAGTAAAAGCTCGCTCATCTTACGAATGCCTGACCAACCTCCTTCCACGCGCAGTGACGTCAACTCGGCGATCGGTGACGTTGACTTCATTACACTTTGTTGAGGTCTGGTTTAGACCAATCGACGAGCTGCGTGCTGCGTGTCGTCACCGATTGCCGAGTTGACGTCACTGCACGTGTGGGAGGAAGTTGGTCACGTGCAGAAAAAATGCGCGAGCTTTTCCAGTTTACAAAGATGCTTCAACTGTTTTTTTTTCTCCATTTTTACTGGACCAGTGCGTAGCACTGTTATGTACCCCATTTTTGCGGAGCATACTCATTTTTAATGACCATTGGTCGGCGAAAACTGTAGATCTCTCTCGACTCACTCAAGAAGTATATTTTGCCTTTGGGGCTCACTCAGACTCAGACTTACGAAAATCTTCATCAGTCGAACTCACTCCGGACTCAGACTCGCCAAAATTGGTTTAGACCGGGCTCGACCAAACTGACACTTACCAGACTATTACTCAGCCGGACTCACTGACACTCAGACTCACGACTCCATCTGTGTGACAGTGAGTCTGAGTTAGACGACTCATGATTGAGTTTGCCTACCTATGATGGTGATAATAGTCCCTGATAAGCCGCAAAAAGGCACATGTCGCTCTGATGACGAGTCTGCTTCTTCATTTTGCTAAACCGTTGGTGAGCAGAGGAGTATACTCAATTTATTTGGAAGACACCCCTTTCACGATCAGCGTTACCACGGTGGCACACATGAACGCCGCGACTAATAACAGTTTCGCTGCTAAAACTATAGGCTCCGTTGACGTGTATCTCTGTGGCGAAGTTGTAATCCGCCCATAACGATAATCAAGGTCACTAGGCAAGAGGAAAAAAAAAGATTTAGACGTCTCGGCACCTCAAAAGCTGATGTCCCGAAATGCCAGAAACTGTTTTTTTTTTTCCAAAACCTTGATAACTTCTCTTTTTTTCTTGTTTCTTTAAGCAACCGTAGTTTTTGTTATATGCAATTCAAGCTGTCTTACCCGATGAGTATTTGTCCAACTCTAGGATCGTAGTCTGAATACCTAAATCACGCATCACAAAAATGAAAGTATGAGTTCCTTATGTGCAGTGCATTGAAAGGGAAGTGAATGCGTTGAATTTAACATCATTACAGCTGCGTAAATGCCTGGTGTTTTGGTTCACAATAGTGCTTTTTACGGCAGCGAATGTTTTGTGAGGCTTTCAAAAGCAACTATCTACATGTATATACCGCAGTTGATTGTGGCGCAGTGCTCCAAGCCAGAGTTCAGTGCTCTACCCTCATAGCTAACAGGTGCTGACTCACTCAGAGGCCGTGACTAAGGCGCTTTTTTTGTTGATAGTCATTTTACCTCGAATAGTTGTTGCATTCCATACGCAGCCTGTCAGCTTCCCACGAATGCATTTGGCGCTCAAACACAGGATGATGACGTATGTATTCGCATTTTTCGCCCTTTTGGAAAGTTCTGAGGTACGATAACTTTGCTGAATCCGAATGCAGCGCAGAAGCCCTCTTCTATACCCATTACTGAAATATGGTCCCAATTTCCTCACTATCATCATTACAGATAAATTTCTTCAATGCTTCCAACACTAGGACTGTTTTTTTTAGCTTTCAAGAAATTATGTTAGTGTGTGTGTGTGTGTGTGTGTGTGTGTGTGTGTGTGTGTGTGTGTGTGTGTGTGTGCGTGTGTGCGTGTGCGTGTGCGTGTGCGTGTGCGTGTGTGTGTGTGTGTGTGTGTGTGTGTGTGTGTGTGTGTGTGTGTGTGTGTGTGTGTGTGAGAGAGAGAGAGGGGGGGGGAGAGATACGTTAGGCTACAGCTATCGAAGCTCGCATCACTTTTTTCCACGCTTAGATAATCGGGACACCGGTGTTTCTAGATCTGTATATTTGCTGCATTGTTATCACCAACAAGAACATTACTAAAGGCTATCTGCACCTTCCTGCCGCTAAATCTTGTGGCCGGTCCCCCAGACTGAATTATGCCGTTATGCTCATGAAATAACCAATCTTCGCGAGGTCTGATTAAACAAATGAGCTAGTGGCAACAATTGCTTCGCTCATCTTTCCTCTCCCTTTATTTCTTTGCTATTTTTCTTCATTTTCTATTCCTTTTCTTTGCTGGTCGTTTTTTTTTTTCGTTTGCTCAACTGTTTTATTTTTGGCTTGTTTTTATCTGACTAGCCCCGATAATTAATCAGTCCTCGCGATGCTGTGTTCGTGAAGCTGGATTAATTTTCTCAGTATAATATCCAACACGCGGACTTTTCCAGCGTGCTCATAAATCTAAAAACTTCTTGCGTTGTTCTAAAAGGGTAAATATTGTACTTATCCCACACTGAAACGCTGTCACCATGATCGCCAACCGAACCCTTGACCTGGTGCATTCCAGTGCCACTTCTAATATTTCTCGTGTTTCTAGCACACCTTATAAATATCAAGTTCACTGCAACAAATGCATACAAGAACAACCTAAACTTGCCCTGAAATACCTTCCCTATACGGAGAAAATTACGTCCACCACAGCGTTTGTTTCATACAGTTAAGTTGAAACCACTGTCAAAGTACCCAGTCCCTTATGCGATCACCTTTATGAACTGCCCTGTCAAGCGGGGACGTTTCTGGTGTGTCAACGTTTACATCGTGCGAGCACTGATGTTATTTGAATAATTACTCAACACTAGCATTAATCATGTGAATATCTATTCGCGTGTAAATTTTGTACTGTTTTATGGTTACTACCAACTTGACGACACAAACTAAATTGTAAAGGAATATTAGCCGGAGCAACACCTATAGGCACCAATCTCTCCTCAAACGCAGTCAATCGAGGAAGACAAAGGCAACAACCAAGATGTGGTGCATCCCTACCCTGCTCCACTTGCTTCCTGGCAAGCCATTCCCTGCACTTTCTCTCTGACAACGCACACGTTCGCGTTTCAGTCCGCTTTCGATCTTCATCAGCTTTGGATCTTCGGCGTCGCTCTTCGGCTCGCCTCGCCGCCTCCAGCTCGCTCTTCATGGCGCACCAGGCGGCAAAAGCCCTCTCAGGCCTGAGACCTCTGCTTAGCTTTGCGTTCGGCCATGGCGCGTGCTTCGCACAGCGCGACCTTCTGGGCTTCGCGTTCCCGCTGGGCGCGTCGCCTCCACTCGAGGTCTTTACGCAGATACCACATCGCCCATGCACTCGGTGGCTCGTCGCCTTCATCGTGCATGCTTGACGACGACGTCGACGAAGCAGTAGTGACTGCAACACTGTCGGTGCCC